GAGTCTCCTCTCCTACAGAAGTCTTTTCGAAAATCTCTGCTGAATATAACCAAATACCATGTCTTGCTGCTTTCCCAAGGAAGCAACATCTCTCTCCCCACCTCTCAGTCAATTCTTTTATTAATACCCCCCACTCAGCCAGTTATCTGTGTGGGGGTATAATCTCCATCCCTTCCACTGCAGTTCAGCATCTTCTTTGAACTCCAGGGGAGATTGAAAAGCTTTACTGTTTCTTTTGAGAGAAGGCATTGCTGCTGCTGCTAAGTCGCTCAGTCGTGTCCGACTCTGTGCAGCCCCATAGATGGCAGCCCACCAGGCTCCTCCATCCGTGGGATTTTCCAGGCAAGGGTACTGGAGTGGGTGCCATTGCCTTCTCCTGAGAGAGGGCATTACTGACCGAAAAAAAGTACCCTCCCCGTCCCAGCTTCTCTGTCTTCCTCAATCTGTAGCACGAGGTGAGGGTTGGGGAGGGAAGGGAGACCTCCATACCCCCATCCTGGAGTGCGTGGAGCCCAGAGAGAAAAGACTTTCTAGCTGAGTAAAGGCGCCTGCTAATTTCAAAACAAGCTGGAGTCTAGGGACAAGATAACTTGCAAACACTGGCTCCCCACAATATCACCTAGTGGACAGTAGGAAACTAAGACATAGATTCTGAGCCTGTGAGGATACAAGACCAACCCTAAAATAATTCACTTCTGGATCCCGAGAAGAGAATCTTTGTTATTCACATATTAAGACAGAGGATTCATCTGCAAGGAGGAAAAAAAATGCTAAACAAATAGTAATATAGTTTCAGCATTAAAAAGAAAGCCAGGAGGCTTCCCAGGTGGTTCAGTGGTAAAGAATCCGCCTGCTAATGCAGGGGACATAGGTTTGATCCCTGGTGCGGGAAGATCCTACATGCCTCAGAGCAACTAACCCTTGCACCACAATTATTGAGCCTGTGCTCTGGAGCCCAGGAGCTGCAACTAATGCGTCCAAATGCCTCAACTACTGAAGCCCGAGTGCCTAGAGCCCTTGCTCTTTCACATGAAAAGCCACCTCAATGAGAAGCCTAGTCACCACAAATAGAATAGCTCCTGCTCGTTGCAACAAGAGAAAAGCTCACACAGCAATGAAGACCCAGTACAGTAACAAGTAAATAAATAAACATCGTATTAAAAAAAAAGAAAGAAAGAAAGCCAAGGGCTAATGTACTTCGCCATAAGATACAAGGGTCTTTGGGGAAATAATTAAACTAACATCCTTCTGTCCTACCCATCCCAAGTATAAAAACCAGAAGGAAGGTGTGTGATGCCTGAGCCCCTCAGTATTAATTTTATTAGTGACTTTAAAATTTATTTCCTTGCAAACCAACGTAAGGAAAGTATCTTACATTCTAACCCAATGCTCAGATGAAACAAAATTATCATGAGATATATTTACTCTTGTTAGGCGTCAGTCCCTGCTCTTTTCTATTGTATTCTATTTAAGAAAAAATACTGGCCACAAGTTTCTAAATTAATTTCATAACCCACCTACTTATGGACAAATTTAGAAAAACACAAACTCATGTACAAATTTTCATCCTATATCAAGTGATTAACACTGATTTTATATAAGGAAATGTGCTCTGGCAAAACTGAAAGCAAATTTACCACATGCTTTTCATGCTGCCAAGCGTTTGTACTTACTTGCTCTCCCCTACCTTTCTTGAGATGCTAGTCATGATCTTCTTTAAGGTCTAACTCCACCATTTAGCCTCCCCATCCTCCACAGTCAGAACAGCTTCTTTCTTAGCTCTCTCTCAACTCGTTACTGAGACGTCTACCGCTGCACATTAGATTTGACCAGTACTCAGTGACTTACATGACCGGTGCAAAAGTAGTTGCACTTTCAGACCATGAGTTTTAAATCATTACAGCTAGGCTCAAACATATCTCTATTAATCAAAATAGGAATCATTACAATCAACACATGTTTGTCAATGAGAAATAAGTTTTTTATTCCTATAGTGTAAAAACCCACGCTTCGAGATTCGATGAACTCTTGAAAAGCATTCTCTGCATGCTGCTGGTTGTGGAAATGTTTTCCCTGCAAAAAATTATGGAGATGGGTGAAGAAATGGTAGCTGGTGGGTGAGAGGTCAGATGAATATAATGGATGAGGTGAAACTTCGTAGCCCAATTTGTTCAAATTTTGAAGCACTGGTTGTGTGACGTGCAGTCGGGCGTTGTTTTGGAGAAGAATTGGGCCTTTTCTGTTGATCGGTGCCAGCTGTAGGCTCTGTAGTCACCAGTGCATTCCATCAATTTGCTAAGCATGCTTCTCGGGTATGATGGTTTCGCCAGGATTCAGAAAGCTGTAGTGGATCAGACCAGCAGCAGACCACCAAAGAGTGACCATGACCTTTTTTTGGTGCAAGCTGAGCTTTGAGAAGTGCTTTGGAGCTTCTTCTCAATCCAACCACTGAGCTAGTTGTCCCCAGTTGTTGTATAAAATCCACTTTTTGCTGCATGTCATAATCCAACTGCGAAATGCTTAGCTGCTGTTATGTAGAATAAGAGAAGACAACACTTCAAAATGAATTTTTTTTTACTTGTGGTCACTTATGAGGCACCCACTTATCGAGCTTTTCCGACTCGCTCTCCAACTTGCTTCAGATGCCAAATGACCTCAGAATGGCCCATGTTGCATTCTTTGGCAACTTCTCATGTAGTTGTAAGAAGATCACCTTCGATGATCCTTTCATTTGGTTGTTGTCAACTTCTGATGGCCGGCCACTGCACTCCTCATCTTTGAGGCTCTCGTCTCCTTTGCAAAACTTCTTGAACCACCCCTGCACTGTACATTCGTTAGCAGTTCCTGGGCCAAATGTGTTGTTGGTGTTGTGAGTTATCTCGCTGCTTTATAACCCATTTTGAACTAGAAAATTGCTCGAATTTGCTTTTTGTCTAATATCATTTCTATAGTCTAAAATATATATAAAATAAACAAGTAATAAGTCATTAGCAAAAAAATATAAAGTGAGAAATGCACATTAACATGATTATAACATAACCACATTTATTTAAGAATGTATTCCAATATCAAACAGTAACGTTCAACAATGCAAAAACCACAATCACATTTGCACCAAGCTTAATACACTGTGCTCACAACTGCCTCTCTCTAAACTAGCCCAATGATTAAGAGCCAACAAATAATCAAAATAAACTTTAACCAAACCAAAGATCCAGGAGATTTAAAGGTTTACTGTGAGAAATCCTGTTGCAAAGCAAATAGCCTCTCCCTAATAATAATTCTGAGAGCATAGGGACAGTCCGGGTGGCCTGGTGGTTAGGAGTCCGGCTCTCACTGTCATGGCCTGGGCTCAACCCCTGCTCAGGCAGCTGAGATTTCACAAAAAAAAAAAAATTCTTAAAGTATAGATTCCTCTATAACCTATGAATTTACAAATCATCAAACACCTACTTATAAGTTAATTAAATCTTATTTAAAATCTTCATAATTGTGGGGGCCTTGGCTCAGAGGTTAAAGCGTCTGCTTGCAATGCGGGAGACCCGGCTTTGATCCTTGGGTCAGGAAGATCCCCTGGAGAAAGAAATGGCAACCCACTCCAGTATTCTTGCCTGGGAAATCCCACGGACGGAGGAGCCTGGTGGCCTACAGTCCATGGGGTCGCAAAAGGTCAGACACGACTGAGCGACTTCACTTTCACTATACAAGGGGACTTGAGCTTTGGTCTCACACTGAGGTGGCCAGTCAAGTTCTCATTAACCTCTCAGGTGTACAAGGCACAAATTTCCCTCATCTTCTGTTTCTCCACAAGGCTTGTGGCTTCATTCATTCAGCCAAATATTTGAGAATTTACATTAGGCATTGGAATGCAATGATAATAAACACAAGCCTGATGCTCCAGGAGCGCATGATCTAATGAGGAGGACGGCTAACAAGAAAATAAGTGTGACCGTGTAATGTAATAAATGGCATTAGAAACATTAAGGGTGGAGTGTTAAGGATGGGAATTAAGACACCTAGAGGACTTCCCTGGTGGTCCGGTGATTAAGACTCTGGGTTTCCACTGCATGGGGTATGGGCTTGGTTCCTGGTCAGGGAACTAAGATCCTGGATGAAAAAAAAAAAAAAAAAGAGCCCTAAATTAATATTTGAGGGTAACAGAAGTCTTCCCAGGGAAGATAACATTTAGGCAGAGAGCCAGAGGTTAAGAAAGAACTGATTAAAGAGAAGGGATCAGCAAGAGTATTCTTGGCGGAGGAGCCGTCAGGGACGAAGGACTAAGGCTCAGAGAGAACACGGCTCATTCGATGAACTGAAAGTAGCTCAGCAGAGTTGAAGCTGTTTGACCAGGGTCAAGGAATGGCAAGAAATAAGGCCGGATTGAGTGGGACCTTAACAGTTAAGCTAAGGACTTCTGAACTCTTCAGATAGTTCATTAAGGCTGACTTCCCTTCTATTCTGGTAGCTGGCTAGAAAGACTGGGCTAAGTCAGTGTGTGGAAATCAGAGGATATGTGAAAATTAAGTGACAGCTTAATTTCGGCTGTAAATTCCTCTTCTTGTTTGCCCACAATACCATCTTGGGGTGGCATCTGACAAGGTAAAATTTCAAAAGAGCTGTCCTGGGACTTCCCTGGTGTTCCAGCAGTTAGGACTTGGCGCTTTCCCTGCAGCGGCCCAGGCTCAATCCCCGACTGATGATTTTCAGAAATAAACAGTAAGGGAGATACTAGGGCTCCATTGCTAGGCAGCACAATAATGATAATACATGCAAATTAATATCAAACTAAATTTGTTATAAGTTACATTTTATTATAACACTAATTTCTGTCCACTCAAGCCTGAGCAGACATGTACCGAAGTCAGCGTTGCTAATTTGGTGATACATGTAATTTTTAAAAAGCAAAAAGAACACTACTCTGAACACTTACCTTCCTGTGCCCAAATGAAGAGGATAAAACAACCACTAGAAGCTGAAAAGACAAGAGACAAAGCAAGACATGTTGTCTACTTGACTTTATTCTGTTCTTTTTAAAAAAAGGAAAAAAAAAAAAAGAGGTGAGGGATGGAAGGGGAGATAACCCACAAACACTGTGAAGAGGAACCGAGACTCCAAGACCTGGGCGTGCTCCCCAGGCCTCAACCTCAGCTCTCCAAGAGACTCCCACCCACCCAATCTTCTTTTAAACAAGACACCCAAATCAGCAGCAAAGGTACCTGGGATAGTCACTGAGATCCTGAACACTGGGGCTAGGGCAGAGAGAGAGAGAAGTCCAAAAAAACAGGAGTTGGGGACAGAAGGGAAGGAATGAGGGCGAGGCTAGCTCTGGAGGCCGGAGTCGGGCCAGGGGAAGTGGCAGTGAGCCGGTCCGGGACGCCCCTGCCGACTGCTGCTGCCCGCGTCCCAGGCCCCAGAGCGCCCCGCGGTTTCTTGCGCAGTCCGGCCCTCAGCCCCGAGGGGCTCACAGGCCCAGCTCCAAGCCCTCCAGCGCCTCCTCCAGGGCCCTCCTCCGCGCCAGCTTCTCCAGCTGCTCCCTGCTGGGCTGGCACAGCAGCAAAGGTACCTGGGATAGTCACTGAGATCCTGAACACTGGGGCTAGGGCAGAGAGAGAGAGAAGTCCAAAAAAACAGGAGTTGGGGACAAAAGGGAAGGAATGAGGGCGAGGCTAGCTCTGGAGGCCGGAGTCGGGCCAGGGGAAGTGGCAGTGAGCCGGTCGGGGACGCCCCTGCCGACTGCTGCTGCCCGCGTCCCAGGCCCCAGAGCGCCCCGCGGTTTCTTGCGCAGTCCGGCCCTCAGCTCCGAGGGGCTCACAGGCCCAGCTCCAAGCCCTCCAGCGCCTCCTCCAGGGCCCTCCTCCGCGCCAGCTTCTCCAGCTGCTCCCTGCTGGGCTGGCTGACCTCCCCGGCCCGGACCCGCTGCTGCAGCTCCTCCACCTGCCGCAGCTTCTTCCTCAGGCTCTTGATCTTCCTGGCCTTCTCCGTGGTGGCGGCCGAGTCGGGCTGGTCTGAGGCGGCGGCGGGCGCCGCCCGGGAGGCCTGTGGGGCACTGGGGACCTGGGCTGTCTCTGCCAGGGACGCCTTCTCAAGAGTCCGGCTCAGGGCCTCCGCCTCCCCTTTCTCCTGCTGCTGCCGCCTCTTCTCCTTCCGCTTCAGGTTGCGTCTGGCGGCCTTGGAGAGGGCTGGCTCACCGCCTTCGGGCCTGGCTGCGGAGACGGGGGCAGTGGCCTCTGGGCTCAGGCCGGGGGGCAATTCTGGTTTGCTCTTGAAAAACTTCACATACTTGTTCTCATACCTGTGGGGAACAGTGTCAAAGAATCACTGACTTTTCGGGTCCTCTTCCCAACCTCATAATTTACATCGCCCTTTTCCTGTTCCTGCTGCCTTCCTCTCCCTCCAGGCCCTGCCCGACTTGCCTCAGCTCTGCAGATTGGAGGCTCTCTAGGTTTTCGGGGCTCCTGCAATGCAGGAGACTCAGGATGATCCCTTGGAGAAGGGAATGGCAATCCACTCCAGTATTCTTGCCTGGGAAATCCTATGGACAGAGGAGCCTGGCGGGCTACAATCCATGGGGTCACAAAGAATCACACCGAGTGACTAACACACATGTAGGTCCTAAAGCTCTGGCTCTCTGAATGCTATTTACAGATGCTGCTGATCAGAGGCCCTAAAAACTGGACTAGTCAGTCACTTGGTTACTCATCCCTCACTCACCCCTGAATCCCAGCCCCCTCCTTCCATTTCTTAGGGTCTTGGGACCAGGAAATTCACATGTTCTTTCTTGCTGTATGAGGCCCATTAAATACCCCCGCCTCATGCCTAGCCACTCACACTGGGACCTCCTCCTGGGGCACATAGCCTTCTTTCACCCTCCGCTGCTTTCGCCAGGTCCCGTCAGGTCGCTGTGTTGAGGCGATGTACTTGCCTGAAATGGGAGAATTAAGTTGGACAGTTACTCTTAATTTTCAAATAGCTCCCAAGATGAAAGAATGCATGAGTGCAGTTTCCCCCAGTCCTTTCCACCTAATGCACCCATTAAGGCATTCTTTTCTCATATCAACCTTTACTATTTACTGAGTGCCTATACCCTGTATAACACACCATTCCTGCCCTCAGGGAGTTTCTATCTTTATAATCTAGTTGGCAAGACAGGGCAGACACAGAGGAAGTTTAAAAAACACAAGTGACATGAGGACATCAAAAGACAGTACATGAATAAGAAGCCAGAAAGGGCAAAAACAAGAATCCTAAGAGGGAGAAATAACCAGAGATGTTATAGAAAAGAAGTTTTACTATGGTGGATGGTTAAAAACATTGGTCAACTTTCAGGAATCCATGCTGTAGATATAAAAGGACCAGCACACAAGGCTATATGCAAAGGATGCTCACATTATAATAATCTTGCTATATTATTTAAATTAGCAAAAAGCTGAAAGCAACTTGAATGGCCATCAACAGATGAGTAATCAAATAGATGTAGGTCATCGCAGGATATAACACCATGTTATTAAAAAAAAAAAGTTAGATACAAATGAACTGACCTTGAATGGTATCCATGATATACTAAGTGAAAATGCAAGCTGCAGGCTAACATGTAGAGATCCTCAAACTTTTTTGTTTCAGAATCTCCCATACACTCTTATTTTGTAATATTATACATTTCATGATGACATTTTTAAAAAAATCATACCCATTAATGTTATCAGAAAACTCTACTGTGAAGCTGTTTTGCTCATAGTGGCAGATACAAGTTTTCCAAAATTCTAATTTCCACTTGACGGCTTGAATTTTATCACTGGAAATAAGCACTGTCAGTTGATTTCCATGAAACAACAGGATCACTTCTTTCATTTACAGGAAAATGCCGCTCAGATACTCAGGTCTGAACTATAGTCTGTCAGTCTTTCAAGCAGAACAGCGTTCCATGAAAAGGCAGCTGGTTTAGCTCGAAAGCCGGACCGCTGCGCCAGTGCTGTTTCCTAAGACACCATGTCTCTTCAGTGGGCAGCAGGGCTTCGAGTCTCCTCCCCGTTCAGCTCGCAGAGAACAGTAACGAGAGGTGTAATTTTCAGTTACAGGTGAATAAGTTCTGGGGATATCAGGTGCAGCACGGTGACTATAGACAGCGAAACTGAGTTATATACTAGAAAGTGGCTGTGAGGAGTTTCCATGTTCTCACCATAAATCAATGAAATGGTAATTATGAGAGGTAATGGTAATTATGTGTCCAACTGTTAACTAACATTATTGTGGTAAACCTTTCACAATGTATGTAGTGTATCAAATCAAATCACTACATTGTACACCTATAACACTGTACATAATGTTTTATGTCATACCTCAATAATGCTGGAAAAATAATAAATAAAAAGATGTGCACTTAAGGGCCAGCCAGGGTTTAATCAAATTAATAATTTTTAAACTTTTGAAATAAAAAAAAATTTTTGGCCATGCCTCTGGGCATGCAGGATCTTAGTTTCCTGACCAGTGATCAAACCTGTGCCCCCTACAGTGGGAGCGTGGAGTTTTAACCACTGCACCGCCAGGCAAGTCCAAAATTAATAATTTTTATTGCATCATAAGGACATTCTTAAGTGAAACTGGCATTATTTATTATAAGCATGTGGCAGTGAAGAACACAGTGACTAGTACAGTGTTGGTCCCGCCACCTTGATTAGTGCTAAAGGGTCACAGTTTTACCCACCATGCCTTCTGTACCCTCAACCCAATCAAAGAGGCAAATAGCATCTTAGCATATTACCAAAATAGCTGTGCTTGTAGACCTGTGGAAAGGGTCTTAGGGAATCTCCAAGGCTCCTGGACAACATTTTGAGAAGTGCTGGTATAGAGGAGGCTCCCATTCTTGTGGGGGCAAGGACAGGCACTCAGAGGCCCATAGGGTTTGTGCATAGGGACAGCGGGGAAGGCGTGGAAGGACACATCCCAAGATTATCAAGACTTTAATGCTGGTGACCTCAAGAGGGATAACTGGGACAAGAGGTGGCAGAAACCATTACCCTTTAATAACGTAAGTTTTAAAAACATGTATTTATATCTTATGTTACACGTGTTTGTTTTGTATTGTTTTTACTATAACTTCTGTTTTAAAAAGGGGAGGCAAGAAAGTAAAAATGATTAAAAAAATAAAAAGTCAAGTCTAGAGCCTCCCACATGGATTACACAAGTTATCTGTGTTCATAATGCAAATATCATTAATAAACTAAAACCAAAAAATGTGAAGGAAAAATGGGTAACATTTCACAGGTAGGGGGGAATGGGAGAAAGAACAAACATGAGCCAAGAAAGGCTTGGACTGTGGGGATGCAAAGACCAGAAAACAGAGGCGTACAGGAGAACCAGGCAGTTCCTGCTGAGGAATACAAAGCTATGCTGAAAATTAAAAACAGGGCCATATCTCAGAAAGTCTTAAAAACAAGGTCAAGGAATTTGGAGTTTATCGGTGAATAAAAGAGGGACACTGAGCACATCGTTTGCGTAGCTCCAATAGTTCAGAGACAAAAACTCAATAATGAGAAAACAGAGGCTCCACAGAGAGAGGATGGAGATTAGAGCTGGGCTTTGGAGAAAGAACCAAACTAAAAGCAAATGAAAATGGAATGAGAATGGATTCTAAACAGAATTCTATTCTAAACCAAATTTCCAACATGGCAGTATACAGGGCCTGGCCAGGAGATGGTGACTAGACCAGCCTGGCTGAATCAGGGCTGATGTAAAGTAAATGAGAGAATGTTCAGACTTCAAAGTCCCAGTTAAGGAGTTTAATATCTGGCACATGGCATGCATTCACTAAATAGCTGTCAAATGAATGAATCTTTTATCCAATGCAGAGTTTTAGGGCAATTAATCTGGCATGATGAAAAGATGAATTGTTAAGGGAAAACATTGGAAACTGGGGAAATCAGTTAGGAAAAAAAGACCGCAGTAATCCTGGCATGAGAAGAGCTGGCTGAAAAAGGAAAGGAAGAGAATGATGCCAGATGTATTATCAAAGACACAACAGCACTCGGCAATTCACTGACTGGGGGAGGGGTAAAGAGTTTTAAAGTCAGAGACAACACACTCTGTTTCAGTAATCCCAATCTTGGAAATTTAGCATGAGGAAATAGTTCCAACTGGAAAAAACAAAGAAAAAAGAGACAGTAATCATGAAATCATGGCAGTATTTATAAATAGCAAAAAATTAAAAACAAACCACATCCAGTTATATAGGAATGGTTTATAATACAGCCAGTAAAAAAATGATAATTTTAATCATTAATATGATGTAATGGAATGTAAAACATATATATATACTATGATTTCTAATATTAAATGTTAGATTAATAAATTACAAAAAGAATGTGCAATATGAAAAGCTATGTTTGGTGACTGGATTATGAATAACTTTTCCTTTGAAAAATTCCCATTAATGTTGTTGTATCGTGGGTTTTTAAAAATCTCATTTTGGGTTTCAGATCTAAATGGCTTAGAGTGAGCACACAGAGGAGGGTGAAATTGTTTTTGACCAGGTGACTCACAAAGATTTCACATAGGAGAAGCAACCCTGTGATCTTGGGAAGACAAGCAGGATTTAGACCGGGGTGGGGCGGGGTAGGGGTGTGGTTATGAGGCAAGAGAAGAAAGGGAAGTATTTCAGGCTTGCAGGACAACAAAAACAAAGGGACAAGTTACTCTAGTCATTCACGTACCTAAATTTCTTCCTGGATTCCTGTTTCCCTCAGGGTATTTGGATGGACATGAAACCACACACAAAAGTCTTGGCCCTGGCCCAGCTAGTCTCCAGCCGCTAAGCCACTCTCTGCTCTGGCCACTGAAATCAAGTCACAAATCTCCCCTCTGTCTTTATCCTCTATGCTCTTCCTTTGGCTTGGAATAGACTTTTCTTTATTCTTAATGACTACTGGTCCTTAAATTTTTCTGGGCTCCAAAATCACTGCAGATGGTGACTGCAGCCATGAAATTAGGAGATGCTTACTCCTTGGAAGACATTTAAAAGTTGCCCTTTGTGCACCCACAGCACCTGTTTTGGCCTTTTATCAGGATCTAATGTTTTAACATGATTGTTTGCTTGCTTGAGAGCAGAAACTTTGCCTTTGATCTTTGAAGCACAGGGCCTGAGCCATGGAAGACTGTAATCAGTTCAAATTCAAATCAATTCAAATGAATAAATAAATCTAAATATCATATTAGGGAACAGTAGGAATCCAGCATATTTTGGGCAAAACACACATGTAATGGGAAAAGAGACTAGAAGTCCGTCAGTCAGAATATGAAAGATGTCCACCTCCTCTTGAGCTTGAACCCCAGCTTCCTAATGTGAGAGAACAAGGAAGGCCATTAAGGGAGTGGAGATGATCTGCTCAAAGCGGTGCTTTAAGAAGATTAACCTGAAAATGTGTGACATAAACTAAAGGCAGAGGGGGAAAAAAACAATAGTTGCAATGTGAGAAGACTTGATTTCAGTGGTCTGTATGGATGTTGAAAAGAAAATGAAAGAGAAATTTATTATAAAGAGTAAGACAGGATCTGAAGACTGCCAGCATTTGAATGAGAGGAAATCATTTCGCTACAGTGGATTTAATCTGGTGCTTTTCACGTTTTCTTGTATTTTTCACAACATATCTGTGGGTACACAGGCACACAGTAATAACATTCTTCACACGTGGATTTTAAATGTTTATTGGGTACCTGCTGTTGTGGCAGGCACTGTAACAGGAGCTAGGGATACAACAATGAATAAATAAAGCAAGCAAGGGTCTTGCCTTCTTGGAGCATTCATTCTAATGAAAAAGAAAGGTTAAGAACACAAACTAACTGCAATATCACTCCTGAATGTGGGCAATTTGGAGGAGAATATAAACTACTGATATACAGAAAATCCAAAGGAGAAGACACTTTTGTGAAAATGACTAATTCGACTCTAGAAAGGCAGTGTTTTTACATGGAATTAAGGAGAGACAGCTAGAAACATACATTTAAGTAAACTGCATAGAGATTACAGTTGAAGGCTTAAGACTAGTAAAGATGGAATGTGAGAAGAGATAGAAACTTCTTGAACAGCCATCCTAACTGGAAACCCTTGGAGATACAAACAGCCCATTACACAAAGGAGCACCCGTTTTATGTCATCTTTGGTTTCACTCTCTGGCCTTGATGGTATCCAAGTGAAGTGAAGTGTCCGACTCTTTGCGACTCCATGGACTACACAGCCATGAAATTCTTTAGCCCAGAATGCTGGAGTGGGTAGTCTTCCCCTTCTCCCTTCCCCTTTCTCTTGAAAGGGGATCTTTCAGAGGTAAAGTCAAAAAGGAACAAGAGATTTACAGATTCCTAAACCTAGAAATAAAAACCATGGGCAGAATTATCAAGATTCTTAGGTAGCATCTTTTTTTTTTTTTTTAAGTATTTATTTACTTTTATTTATTTAATTTGGCTTTGTGGGTCTTAGCTGTGGTATGTGGATCTAGTTCCCTTACGAGGGATCAAACTCAGGCCCCCTGCAGTGGAAGTGCAGAGTCTCAGCCACTGGACTGCAAGAGTGCCTCAGGAAGCGTCTTTGAAAGAACCAAAAACAAAGAACCTTCAGAACCTTGTACATTTTGTTATTTCCTCACATCTCCTGTTTTGTAATCCTCAATCTGTTTTCTTAAATTGAAAAGGGCCTAGTCTTGGGGTGGCAGGAAGACCGTGAGATACGACGCAGAAGGCTTCCGAGACTCCAAGGGGTGACGTGGAAGTGACTGTTCAAGGCGTCTGCAGGCCCTGGTGCCTGCTTCAGAGTTGAGACCAGGGCTACAGCGCTGAGCCTGGGGATGGCCTCGGGGCCACCGACTGTGAGATTCGGGTGTGGTTCCTAACATAGAGTATTAAAAGAGAAGACCCAGTTTGGATGAGTGACTCCAGAAAACGGTCCTGATTATTTCCCTCAAGAAAGAAAAAGTGTCAGCGGCACCAGGAAGTAATCCCAGAAAAGAAAGACTGGGACAGGACTATTGCATGGAGACCAAGAGTCTGAGGTTAGGCCAGGTGATTAACAGTATTAAATACTACAAAGGGATTAAGGAAAAGAAGAACTGAGAAGAAAAAGGATATTGATTTTGGCAATTTGGAAATCCCTAATTATGTTAAAGAATACAACTTCAGAAAAGTAAAGTGGTCAGAAGTCAGACTACAAATTAATTAAATGCAGTAAACATTTATTGAAAGCCTCCTATGAGAAAAATCCTCTACTAAATGCTATGGAAATTATCAAGATCAGTAAATTGGCCCCCGCTTTCAAGAAATTTACAGTTTACGTAAGGAGAAGGGTGGACAAGTTAGGTAAACAAAGAATAAGATAAAAATATAAATGTCTTGGGACTTCCCTGGAGGTCTGGTGGTTAAGACTCCACTCTCCCAAGCAGGGGTCATGGATTTGATCTCTGGTTGGGGAACTAAGATCCCATA